TGATGGCTCCCCCAGGACTCCTGCCCCATCCAACCCACCCTGTTCCCTGACAGCCCCCCAGGACTCTTACCCCATCCACCACTCCCTGTTCCCTGTCCGCTGACCCCCCCCCAGACCCCCCACCCCTAGCTGCCCCCTGCTGCCCCATCCAACCCGCCCTCTCATTCCTGACTTGCCCCCCGGGACCCCTGCCCCATCCAACCCCCCTGTTCCCCGCCTTCTGACTGCCCTGACCCCAATCCACATCCCATTCTCTGACCACCCCCCTCAACTCCCCTGCCCTCTATCCAACCCCCCCGCCCCCTTACCACGCCACCCAGACCACAGAGTCAGGCCGCGACTCTGCAACTGTGTTGCCCGGCCGCCCAGAGCATTGTGCCGGTGGCGCAGCGTGCTGAGGCTGCGGGGGAGGAGGGACAGCAGGGGAGGGGCTGGGGGCTAGGAGCTCAGGGGCCGGGCAGGACAGGCCCGCAGGCCGGATGTGGCCTGCAGGCCGTAGTTTGCTCACCTCTGGGCTAGAGTGAAATCCCTGCAAGCTGCATGGACACTTTTCAAAGACACCATAATAGAGGCTCAACTTAAATGTATACCCCAAATTAAAAAACACAGTAGAAGAACTAAAAAAGAGCCATTGTGGCTTAACAACCATGTAAAAGAAGCAGTGAGAGATAAAAAGGCATCTTTTAAAAAGTAGAAGTCAAATCCTAGTGAGGTAATAGAAAGGAGCATAAACACTGCTCAATTAAATGTAAAAAATGTAATAAGAAAAACCAAAAAGGAGTTTGAAGAACAGCTAGCCAAAAACTCAAAAAGTAATAACAAAATGTTTTTTTAAGTACATCAGAAGCAGGAAGCCTGCTAACCAGCCAGTGGGGTCCCTAGACGATCGAGATACAAAAGGAGCACTTAAAGAGGATAAAGTCATCGCAGAGAAACTAAATTAATTCTTTGTTTCAGTCTTCACGGCTGCAGATGTTAGGGAGATTCCCAAAACCTGAGCTTTTGTAGGTGACAAATCTGAGGAATTGTCACAGATTGAAGTGTCACTAGAGGAGGTTTTGGAATTAATTGAGAAACTTAACAGTAACAAGTCACCAGGACCAGATGGCATTCACCCAAGAGTTCTGAAAGAACTCAAATGTGAAATTGCGGAATTATTAACTATGGTTTGTAACCTGTCCTTTAAATCAGCTTCTGTACCCAAGGACTGGAAGATAGCTAATGTAACACCAATATTTAAGAAAGGCTCTAGAGGTGATCCTGGCAATTACAGACCGGTAAATCTAACGTCAGTACCGGGCAAATTAGTTGAAACAATAGTAAAGAATAAAATTGTCAGACACATAGAAGAACATAAATTGTTGTGCAAAAGTCAACATGGTTTCTGTAAAGTGAGATCATGTCTTACTAATCTATTAGAGTTCTTTGAGGGGGTCAACAAGCATGTGGACAAGGGGGATCCAGTGGACATATTGTACTTAGATTTCCAGAAAGCCTTTGACAAGATCCCTCACCAAAGGCTCTTACGTAAATTAAGTTGTCATGGGATAATCGGGATGATCCTTTCATGGATTGAGAACTGGTTAAAAGACAGGGAACAAAGGGTAGGAATAAATGGTAAATTTTCATAATGGAGACGGGTAACTAGTGGTGTTCCCCAAGCGTCAGTTCCTAGGATCCATCCTATTCAACTTATTCATAAATGATCTGGAGAAAGGGGTAAACAGTGAGGTGGCAAAGTCTGCAGATGATACTAAACTGCTCAAGATAGCTAAGACCAAAGCAGACTATGAAGAACTTCAAAAAGATCTCACAAAACTACGTGATTGCGTAACAAATGGCAAATGAAATTTAATGTGGATAAATGTAAAGTAATGCACATTGGAAAAATAACCCCAACTATACATACAATATGATGGGGGCTAATTTAGCTACAACTAATCAGGAGAAAGATCTTGGAGTTATTGTGGATAGTTCCTCGAAGATGTCCACGCAGTGTGCAGCAGCAGTCAAAAAAGCAAACGGGATGTTAGGAATAATTAAAAAAGGGATAGAGAATAAGATGGAGAATATCTTATTCCCCTTATATAAATCCATGGTACGCCCACATCTTGAATACTGCGTAGAGATGTGGTCCTCATCTCAAAAAAGATATACTGGCATTAGAAAAGGTTCAGAAGAGGGCAACTACAATGATTCAGGGTTTGGAACGGGTCCCATATGAGGAGAGATTAAAGAGGCTAGGACTTTTTAGCTTGGAAAAGAGGAGACTAAGGGGGGATATGATAAAGGTATATAAAATCATGAGTGGTGTGGAGAAAATGAATAAGGAAAAGTTATTTACTTGTTCCCATAATATAAGAAGTAGGGGCCACCAAATGAAATTAATGGGCAGCAGCTTTAAAACAAATAAAAGGAAGTTCTTCACTCAGAGCACAGTCAACCTGTGGAACTCCTTGCATGAGGAGGTTCTGAAGGCTAGGACTATAACAGGATTGAAAAGAGAACTGGATAAATTCATGGAAGTTAAGTCCATTAATGGCTATTAGCCAGGATGGGTAAGGAATGGTATACCTAGCCTCTGTTTGTCAGAGGGTGGAGATGGATGGCAGGAGAGAGATCACTTTATCATTACCTGTTAGGTTCACTCCCTCTGGGGCACCTGGCATTGGCCACTGTCGGTAGACAGGATACTGGGCTGGATGGACCTTTGGTCTGACCCAGTATGGCCATTCTTATGTTCTTATCCTTTAATCATTCAATAACCCTCTTTTCCTTCTTTTTTATATTATTAAACCTTTAATTTTTAGCTACTAAAGGATTGGCATCAGTGTGATTATTGGGTAATATCTGAGTTATATATTGACCAGGCTAAGAGGCTGATCCCTTGGGATTGGAAGGACCCTACATCTGATTAAATTGTTTTCAGTAACCACTCATCATAAAGTCCAGTGTGTCTAGGTGGTGAGCCAAGGACTGGAAAGCCTAAGGAGATCGCATTTTTGACTTCTTGTTAACTAGTGTGGTGATACAGAAATTCATTCTTTTTACTGGCTCGGTATAATCCAATGATAGACTAACTACCAATTTTGGGTGAGTCTGCCTTATTTCTCAAGAGTATATCCTGAATTTGGCATTCTTAGCTGTGACCCACTGAGGCACGGTAAGACCCCCGAAAGGGAGAAAACATGGATAGTGACATGGCCAGAGGGCCAAACCAGGAAGAGGGCATTGAGGTTCCTGAGACTACAAGGGGGGCTGCAGGTGAATGCAGAGACAAAGTGATGGTGTGCAAACTAAGGAGGGGGAGGGTTGTCGGCCTCGAGCAATGCTCAGAGTGACTAGGAGAAGGCACCAGCCCAGTGGTGAGTGATGTGCCCTGACACACCTCCGTAGTCAAGGTCAGGGATGGAAAAGGAGTGGGAAAGGGCACACCCCTGAAAATGTTGATTAGTCTTTCCAACAGTTCAGTCAGGAAAGCACTCTTGCAGGTATGTGAATTGGAATCCAGAGAATACTTGATTGGATGATACACAGACTTCAGCCATCCCTGTAAGCATCTGAGGTGAAGACTGTTTGATGCTGATCTCTACTTGATCTCTGGAATAGTCACAGACAACTCAATTGTCCAGGTAAGGGAATACCTGAATGCCAATGTTTCTGAGGTGAGCTGCTCCTATTGCCATGCATTTGGTAAACACCCTTAGAGCAGATGACAGACCAAAAAGGAGGACAGTATATTGGCAATGAAGGCCTACAAACTTCAGGTACTTTCTATGGCTTGGATGGGTTGTCAAATGAAAGCAGGCATTTTGGAGATTGAGAGCAGCATACCAGTCACTGGAATTGAGAGATGGAATGACGGATGCCAGGGGAGCACGGAGCTGAAGCTCTTGGTCTAACCTCAGCGCTGAGCAGATCGTGAGGAATGTTCTTAGAGACACTTCAGTGGCCTTTTTAAGACATGAAGTGCTCTTTTTTTTTTGTGACAGATTTAGGTCTCAATTCTTTGTGAAAGGAACCCAGAGACAAGGAGTACTTCCTCTTTTCACAGTGGAAGGATTAAGCTTTTTCAGATTTTTGAGGGAAGTGGAGAGGCACTTCCAGCAGGACAGGTATGGGATTTTATGATCTCAGACACTTCGCAAGAGAGGCAATGAGTAAACTCCAGAGGTCCTGGCATAACTTCTCAGTCTGAAAGGAAGAGATCTCTGTTTGCAGGGTGCAGAAAAAAAAACCCACAAAATGATTAAACAATAAAGAATTGTTAAAATGGGTACTACTGTCTCACTATTTGCACTTGTGAATGATCTGTTTACAAAAGAGAAACATCTCAATATGAGAGGGAAAACCATGACAGAGCACAAGGAGTTTCTCACTGCCTCTAGCTGCTTGTTAGAAGAACAGAAGGAGAGGTTGGAGCGGGTCACCCTGTATACACTTGCCTGGGGCCACGAGGAAGTACAGAAAGTATTTTCCACACTGACAGGTATTGCTACAGAGAACTGTCTGGCTCAGGTGCACTGGACATAAACACACCTAAGTGGAAGAGATGTGCAACCACTCAAAGAAGAATTAATCTTTTTTTAAAAGGTGGGAGGAGGAGACATATTCTTCAGAACGATCCACTGATTTTAAAAAAATGGTTTCAAATATTTTTTTTTAAATAACACTGTAATAAAGCAAACATGCTGCTAATAAGAGAAAGATAAGAATATTTAATTAAAATTAAGCAATTATGGCTCAGAAATGCTTAGTTACCCAAGCCAGAGTACTGTAACAGTCTAGAATATGAAGACAAATCTGAATGGGCAGACTATTTATGGACAAATCTCTAATTTTCTCATACATGTTATCCACTGAATAATTACTTGGTCCATAACATTTTTGTTCAGTTTCCATGCCCTTGACAACTAAATGTTTCAAACCAAGATTTACTAACTATATATTGTGGATTGAATTTATAAAATAAAGTAAATTATAAAAATACAAAATCTTACTTGGCATCTTGTAAAAAAGTCTTTTCCCACTGCCATCATTGGTCTGTAAATATTTACTGTCTGAAGACCAGTCCATATGAGTGATGAAACTTACAGATCCAACACATTCCCCAACTTTTTTGTACCGCTGAACAACACCATAAATATCAACAGAGCTGTCATTGGAGCCAACAGCAAGGAAAGTCCCATCTGGTGAATATTTTAATTCATGAATGGCTTCTTTCCTGTCTTTAATATGAACAACCTCTGTCATATCCCTGTAAGGGAGAAAGAAAATATGTCACAAGCACAAAAGAGAATATCATCTTGTTGTCAAGCTCACTGTTTCAAGAATGTGCCTGACAAAATTTTCTTCTGAATTCAGAAATTTACTATTCCTTGTACAAATGTACTTTTCTTAATATGCTTTCAGAGTAACGACTAGACATAAATAGCCTGTGAACCTGTGTTTAAAATTTCAGTTTAAATGCTTTCTTAGCATGTTTTCTACATAAAACAAAACAGAAACATGCACAGATTACTTAAGAAAAAGTTTATAATTTATTTATAATTTTCTAATCTTTGTACCTACCTGACTCGAAGTACAGTGAAAGAGCCATCCTTCATGCCAAGTGCAAGATGGATTCCATCAGTACTAACAGCTGCACAGCGAATTGGTTCTTCCATATTGCACCGTGCAATCAATGCATGGTCTATTAGGCTCCAAATTCTAAAATAAAATATTAAATAAAATCATGTAAGTAATGGCTGTTTTCTGATAAAAAAAAGTGAAGATTTCAACTTCACAGAATATATTCTGAATGCAGCACTACACCTATATTCCAAAGTCATTTGCTATCAACAACTTCCAAAACTAACAAAGTTACAAGCTTTGCATACAGCAATGAGTGTTTGTACATTTAAGAGAACGACTGAGTACCTAATTCGTGAATCTGCAGAGACAGACTCATTTTGTTTGAAAGAACAGTACTTATTTGTAAAACCTGAATTTTCTATTGCTTAAAGTGTATACTACTCATTTAGTTAAAGATTACTGAATGAACAACTGAAAATTTTACAACACAAATGCCTCCCTTTCTATTAATTTTTTATCATTCACAATGTAGCACAACTTTCTGCATGTGACCAGATACCAATATAATTTCTAACTTATACTAATCATGCCTTTTCAAGCATGGAATTTTACAATAGCATGTCAATTAATTTTTTATTATATTAGTGTAACTCCTAGCAGATTAGCAAAAAATGACACTACACTTAATCTGAAAAATGTTTAAAAAAACTATGTAAAGGAGAATAATTTACTAGGATTTATTGGACTGTAGCCTTATTTAACAAATATAGATACATTAAGTTACATTAAGTAAACAAAAATGTCACAAGTCTGAAATGCAATTCTATCACATTTAAAAAAAACATGATGTAAATAAGAATTATAAGGTACTGTACCATATCAGCACAAAAGAAGGTATCTCAGTAATGCCTGATATAGTTTGGACAAAAGGTTCACAAAAGACATCAGTCAAAATTATTTAACTTGGGAGTTGTGGATGCTTCGCAGCACCTCTGAAAGTTAAATCACTTCTTAGATACTCAGATATAAATTTAGGTGCGTAACTTTAGTTACCCAAGTTTGAAAATTTTGGCACTCATCTTATTTACTATCATTGAAATTATGAAAGTAATCCCTTCCACCATTTGAGTTCAAATTAAGGCCTTGATTTCCATTTTGAAAACTACCCATTTCTGCCACTGTTTTCAGACCTCCATCAGCAAAGTAATCAGTATTTAGAGTTAAAGAATAAATTATGTTGGTTCAATATCACAATATGACATGCCATAAATCATTTTGCATTTTTACATTTCAATTGTTTTTCTAAAGATGAAGTCTCATCTATAAAGCTATACGTAATCTGGGTGGGGAGCTTTAGTTTGGTGTATTATTGTTGGTCATTTTGTTGTTGGGGGGGGAGAGGGTGTTGTTGTTGTTGCTAACCTGACTGATCGGTCATCACTTCCAGTCATGGCCAATGGTTTTGTAGGATGGACTGCCAGAGCCCACAGCTCTCCTTCACAGTGCCCCTGCATGATCAGGAAAGGCTTATTGCGTTCATGCACAACAATCTCAAAAATTTCACTGTCTTGTGTCCCAACTAGGATATGGTCTCCTCGCCAGCAAACACTTCTCACAGACAGACCTATGGGAAAAATATATATATAGGCACTTTGTTATGAACCACTTAAAATTTCACACAGATAGCATAGTTGTCAAACCCTTAAAAGAAAGAAAACAACCAGAAATTAACCTGCATAATAAATACCATCTTATTCTTTCAGTCATGGACAGACTTTTTACCACAGCAGACCACACATCCATCACTACCTGAGGGATGCCAGCCTCCACCTCTTGCATTGCCATACATCTAATAGAAAGAGTGAGTCTTGCATATTGGAGAGCAAAGTAAAGAAAGGTGTAGTCAAATCTTAACATAACAAAAGCATCATCCAGCACATTGACATTTGCACATAAAAGTGTATGTTTTAATCCATCTAATTCCTAAACATATATAGTAATATTCTGAATATGAGTCACATACTCCAACTACTAATCAAAGAGCACACTCATATTTCTGACGGAGCTGGCAGAGACTACATGAACGACATCAACAGAGATATCAATGGGATGTGTTATTCTTAGCTTTCATAAGAATTACAGGTAAGCAGAAAGTTAAAGTTGAAGGACAAGTGTCCTTTCATCTCACAAGCTTGTCTACTCAAGGTTGCCTTCCACAATCATCAACAAAACAACCAGTGTATCATCTGATTATCAGAAGAAGCTAATCAAGTTGAAAAAGAGTGAAAAATAGATCCTACTGGCAACAATATACAGAGTAGGGTGAGCTTGGGGACTGGTCTGCATAGTTTGTACCTCAACATGTATCCTAATTTTCAGTGGAGTTGAGCACCCACAAGTTACACTGAGTTGAGGGCAGTTAAAGGTGACCAGCTATTCTGAAAACCAGATCACTTTTATTTAGTTTCCTGAATATGGATTTAGGTGCCTAACTCTAGGCATGCCAAAATTCTTAAATTTTGGCTTTAGTCAATAGTGTCTACTATACAAGCAACTTTACCAGTTTCAGGTAGGCATTCCTGCCTTTTCTCACTCCTGCTTTTTTGCAGTCCTTTTGGCAGTGAGCATCAGAGAGGGAGTTTGCCCAAGGATTTTTGTAGGCTCCAAGACGGCATCATTAAGTGGTAAAATCACTCAAGTAGGACACACAGTATTCAAAATATCCACTAACTTGTGTGGATTGCCCTGGACTAGTGCTACCTGAATACCAACGGAGGTGGCTATATTTTTCATAAGTTCCTGTTATGTTATATCATCATCCAAAAATGGGGAGAATCATTCAGAGACAGTGGTCTCATCCAGGGAGAAACAAATGGGTAGATAAGCACTGTAGTGTACCTCTGTTCTGCAGTCTTTGAACTGGAAGGGTCAGCTGAAGGAAGCAACTGAAAGAAGCACATTCTCTGCTTATTGGATACTGGGATCGGTACAGATCGGTACTGGTAGCAGGTACAGTATATTGCCTTGATGGAGATTTATTGGTACATGGTGTGATGTTATATGATTAAAATATAACCATGCAGATCATTGTTGCTACCACTGTTATATAATTGCAACAAATCTTGTACAAAGTGTGTCAAGTAAGGTGTCAATAGAAAAGTTATGGTTTGCTGAATATGATTATCCTATTTTTATGCATGTATCCTTTTTGTATCTGAAGTTATGAATATTGATTATGTACCTCTATTTCAAATACGTTTGCTCCAGTGGTATCAGCCACAGGGTAATTTTCATCCAGTCTGGCCAGCATGTTGTGAAGGGACTATTCAAATTGAATGGCCCACCAAAGAACACTTAACTCACAATGGACCACAGAAGAGGCTTATCCACACCTGATGGACTTTCTTGTGAATGTTCTAGAGTATGGATAATGGCCTCTGCTATGACTCAGCGAAGCATGCAACAGCATGTGACTAGATCATGTGATCAGATCATGTGACATTAAAAGCCACCTTGTTACCTGTATTTTTCCACAAACTGAATGAGTCACGTAGCCCAACTTCTAATCAAAGGGCACACTCATATTTCTGACAGAGCTGGCAGAGACTACATGGGACTGAGGACCTTCCAATCATTTGGGAGCAACCAGAGACTTGACTTAAGCCAATTAGTTTATTTCATCACTGCTTCAAGCCTGACCCAAGGACCTTGTAATTATTGTATGTATTTGATTCCTTTAACCAATTTTAACTCTCACCTCTTTCTTTCTTTTTATAAATAAACCTTTAGATATTAGATACTAAAGGATTGGCAACAGCATGATTAATGGGTAAGATCTGAGTTATATATTGACCTGGGTATGTGGCTGGTCCTATGGGATCAGAAGAACCCTTTGATTGATTAAATTGGTTTTAAATAACCACTAATCATTAAGTCGAGTGTCTGGGTGTTGAATCCAGGACTGGAATACCTAAGGAGGTTGCATTTCTGACTTCTTGTTAGCCAGTGTGGTAAGAGAGAAGTTTAATTTTGTTGCTGGATTGGTTTGTCTTATGGAAGAATAATCACCAGTTTTGGGGTGTATCTGTCCTATTTCTCAGCAGCATGTCCTGAATTTGGTATTCTCAGTTGTGACCCACTGAGGCACGGTGACACATGGTCTAGGCAATGAGGACCTAGAGTCCAGAGGAACCCCTCAAGAATTTCCAAAAATACCACTGTTGGACCTGATATGGTACCAGGGACCAGCTGCAAGACATCCTGTCCCTGGACCTGCTCCTATAAGAATGATGGTACCGAGATTTTGATTTGTATGAAGAGGAACCAGGAGAGGCTCTAGTCCTTCTGTAATGGGATACTAATGAAACTCCTCCCACAGCAGCAATGAATCTAAAACTGAGAGGGAAAGAAGGTCCCTGACTGCAACATAGGTCTCAGGTGTTGTTGTACCAAGAGCATAGTGTGTACCTCAGATGAAATCAAAGCTGTTAAAGGTCCCGGCAATAGAGTCAATCTCAATGGTACTGAAAATGGTGCCAGAAGCAACAACTTGACATTGGTAAACAACAAATGTGACACTGGGGAATGTTTAGCTAGGGCTGGCTTATTTCTAAACTCAGTACCAGACTTTTTTCTGCGAGTCTCTGTCAGTGACCTGGCTCTCAAAAAGGAACTGGGCTTCTTCTGGCTAGGGGCATTCAAAGTATCCATCTTCTGGTATTTACACAGTACCAAAGAAGGAGAATGCCTTCTATCTGGTTCCCTTTGATGAGGGATCCCTCCAAGTCCAACAGTGCACTTTGAGATAGAGTAGAATGTGAACCGCCACGTACCAAGAGGCTGGGTTCCGAGTGAGGGTGCAAAGCTGCCTCTATCAGGATATGGTGAAAATGAACTTACCTCAACTTCTTGGCCCTGGTCTTAAACCCTTTACAGAGAGGGCACTTCTGCCTTACATGACCCTCTCCTAAATACTTTAAACATCTGGAATGAGGGTTGATAACTGGTATAGGTATGTTACAGTCAGAATAGAGTTTAAATCCTGGGGATTTAGACACACTCCTGTACTGAGCTTTAAGCCTGAAGAATATTATATATATATATATAAATAAAAAAAACTAGACAAATTTCTAAAACAAGTACCATAAGCTATCACTATAATCAACTAACAAACTATGTACAATAGAAACTAGAAACAATTTCTCTAAGAGAAGGGGAAAAGTGTGACAAGCACACACATTCTCCCATTACCAACTACGAACAGTAAAAAGGAACTGAAATGGATTTTCCCCTTTATACCCTTAGTTAGCAGCATGAGTGTGCAGAGGGTGCAGGCACTATCCCAACAGGTAGTGTGCTCTGAGAAAAAAAGTTCTCTAACTGCGGTGCACTGGCATGCACACACCTAAAGTGAAATGGACATATGCAAGCACACAAAAAATAAACTATGTACCCTCTGCATGGAGTTCTCTTTAGGGGATGCTCAGGACTCAGGTCTAGATGGCCTGCTTCTTCCAGGAGGCAAGTTGAGAGAGGAAGATAAGTGGGAGAGAGGCCCCCACCCTCCAACTTAATAAAAATATCTAGAGGAAATTCCACAAATGGAATATTGTGGAGTTTTCCAACCTCACCCAAGGGCTCCTCCCACATATTTTCCCAACACAGAGAATATAATTGGGCTCAATAGCTTCTGTTGTTATTACGGCTACTATTTTGGAAATGACAGGGAAAAACAGCTAAGAACAAACTAGGGGAAATCTGTCTAACACCCACCCCTGGAAAGCTCTTAAAAGTGTTTTGGTGGTTAGTTGTGTTGTTGGTAAACCACTCTTTGAATTTAAAAATAAAACTTCTTTGTTGTATACAATAAGCTAACAAATACGAGATTATCTGATGTCAATTGGAAAAAATCTCCCCATTATTCAATATTAGAGTTGAATATTCAGATGGAAACAAAGATAAAAACATCATGCTTACAGAGAAATTCTACCAATAACTCATTTTTATAGGTAAGAGACAAAAAATTATATTTGAGGTGGAAATTAAATACTTGGGTTTTTTTTTAAATGGTGCTGTGTAATATAACCGAAGAGTCATTTTGTGAAGTAGGATATCTTTAAATTAGCCTTTGGGAATAGTCAGATGCTTGTGGAAGACAAGAGTTTTAGCCAGATAAAAAAGGTGAAAGTTGACAACACAATCATCTTGGTACACTTGATGAAGTAGGGCTTGTCTACACAGTAACTTAGTCTGCACCAGCTGAGGTATAAATTGTAATGCACACCAACGTTGCCCATACTAATTGGCCTGGCCCATGTTGATCCTAGCACACCAGAAGTTCTTCAGTGTGTGTTAACGTAGTCCTGTTTCAAACAGTAACATTATCGCACAGTAGGGAACTTTTAGTGCATACCAGTAGGGTCCACATGGGCCAGTTAGTGTGCAACATGCTGGTGCAAAGTAAAATTTACACCCCCGCTATTGTACACTAAAGCACCTTAGAGACTAAACAGCAGCAAAACAACAATTTTAAGAATGTTGAAATGAAAAGTGGCAGAAATACTTAATTCTGCTTTTGAACATCCAAATGAATTGGATGAGAGAATGAAAAACCCTCAATAATAAGGGCTTTGAAGAGCACAGAATTATTAAAACTTCTCAATAGGAGTGGTGAGACTTATATTCACTGTCTCCTAGTGCCCAACCCAATGCACTTTCCTCAAGGTGAATGTGACTTTTAATGAGGGAAAGCAGGAGCAAAAAGGCCTGCAGCAGGATCCATCCAGAAGTTCAGGTCTGTGTGGCTGCCTCAGAACAATATAGAAAGCTCAGTGAAGCCTGGGAGCAAATGCAGTGCAGTTGGAACATTCAGAAAATTATGGGGTAAACTGGTAAATTCTACTGAGCATGTACAAATGGTGACTTTTTGCAGATTATAATTCTTCCAAATCCTGGACAGATTTTTACAACTACCAGCAAGATGCAACTCTGCCAAATGTCAAGATTTTGCCTTTGTTGCAAATCACAGATGTGCTATAGTTGTTCAAAAACAGAAATTTTTCTAATATTTTTAAAATATAGCTTTGCCACTAACCTAATCCTTAAAAATGGCCAAACAGTTTTTTCTCAATTCCCTCCCCCCCCCCCCCCAAAATTTTTTTTTTAAATTTAACAAGAGACAATTGACAACAAGAAGTGTTTGGCGACCTCAATACAGAAGTCACTACTGCACTACTTACGTTTTTCTTTTTCTAAAATAGAAAGATGTGTAATTTTGTTAAAGATGAAAATAACACTTGAATTAGAGAAATCACTGGGAGAAAAAGAGGGAAGATATTTTCTAATAAGAGGTTTTTTAGAAGGGAAAATAGTGATAACTGAAATTCAGAGACAATTGTCATATTATTTTGAATATTAGTTGCGTTTTCAAAAGAAGAGATAATAGTAGAAAATTTTAATGTTAAAATTGATTCAATAATACACAGATCTACTTAAAATCTAACTCAGAGCACTGGAACATATCTTAAAATCAAATTAGAAATAATGGGTTAACAAAGGCTTGGAGATGGAAACACAGAAGAGAACAACCATACTTTTTTCATTAATTCTTACCAAATATACTTAAAATTAGATTACCTCTTTCTAACTCAAAGGTGAAAATCTAATAATAAAGACATTACTTGGAACCCAGATCGGGCTTTAAATGAGAACTTAATACATTATTATAGGATGTAATAATAAGTAATACTTAAAAAAAACCTAAACAATATTTTGAAGCAAATATTCCTGGAGGCATATCCCATAACATAAAGTGGGTATCAGAAATAATTAAACAACATGTTTTAAAAGCACTAGATAGAGAAGGAATGAACAAATTAATGAAGGAATTGTTAGAGTTAGAAAGAGAACAGGTAGAAAGATATAAAATGGTCTTCTTTTAGATAGAGGTATCAGGATATTAGCTGATTAGACTTTCAAAGTCTATAGCAAGAGTTAATCTTGGCAATCATTTCAAACAGTAGTAGCCCTTTCAACCTATGGATAAGAGTAATGGCGAATGAAAGAAAAAATTATAAAACTTTTTGTGAACTTGTAAATTCCTTTTTTTTTCCTTTTTCTTTTTTTTTTTTTAAAGTTTAAGATATATGAGCAGGTATCCTTATCTGTGCTGTAATATCTTTGCATTAAATACCACGCTCACAAAGTTCCACTAATGAAATTTCAGTAATTTCTGCAGGTGATGCTAGTCTTATTTAAGATATCTGAAACCCTTAATCTTGTTGAATGCTAGATTGAAACAAGGGAAGAAGAAGCAAAAGAAAGCCTTATCCAAAAAAAAAAAAAAAAAAAAAAAGCTATTGTCCAAATACCTGCCTTTCCCCTGGAAAGGAAGTAGGGGAAAAAGCAGAGATTTGAATACATTTGGCTCTTGCTTAGAGACTCTGATTACGTTTGCCAGGATTCTGGTCGAAAAGGGACCTGGCAACGTCTGGTTAGCACTGCTGACTGGACACAAAAAGCCCGGTTACCTGCAGTAACTGGTCTCTGCCACCGGGCGGGCAGGAAGAGAAGCAGCTGCCATTGGAGTCTGGAGGAACAGGTTTCACAGTAGCAGCCGTGTTAGTCTGTATCCGCAAAAAGAAAAGGAGTACTTGTGGCACCTTAGAGACTAACAAATTTATCTGAGCATAAAGCTGTTGTGAGCTGCATCCGATGAAGTGAGCTGTAGCTCATGAAAGCTTATGCTCAAATAAATTTGTTAGTCTCTAAGGTGCCACAAATACTCCTTTTCTTTTTTTTGGAGAAACAGAGGAGTACTCAGGAACGGCTCCGGCAGAGAGAGGTACCAGCAGCTCCCACGTCCTGCCCCAAGCATAGCTCTCCCTGCCCCGCTCACCCTTCCACTCCCAGATCATGTCTCTCTTTGCCCCACTCACACCTCCACCCCTGGAGCATGGCTGTCCCTGCCCCATCCTGCCCTAACTCACCCCTCCACCCCCAGAGCGCAGCTCTCCTTCCCCTGCCCTGCCCCAGTCAACCCCTTTCCTCTGGAGCCTGACTGTCTTGCCAATGTCATGCCCAATCACCCCTCCACCCATAAAGCCCTGCTCAGCTGGCAGAGGCAGGGTGGTGGAGAAAGCAGCGAGCGGCAGGGCGGGGCAGGCAGGAGAAGAGGAGCAGGGACGGGGCCTCAAGGGAAAGAGGTAGACCAAGGGGCAGGGGAGGTTCCGGCACTCAGTGTCCAGTTTTCACTACTTAGAAAGTTGGCCACCCTAACTGTGGTAGTTATTTTTCTTGAACTGTCTCAGTAACGAGAAACTGACTGTCCACTCCAGGTCATTTTAAATGGACCGCAACCCATCTTGTTAGGATATCTCAGAATCTTAGTGGAGTTGCCAGGTCAATTACAGTTCAAAATGGTATGTTTATTTTACTGTATATGAGAGCAGTTATTTATTGATACTAATATATTTGGCTAGCTCAAATCATCCTTCAATGTACTGGGATCTTGCACGACTGTAAAAAATAACAAGCAGCTTCAGCAATTGGCTGAGAGGCCCGCAACAGAAGTGCTGCTGAAAGTGACGGTATGTTTCAGCATGTCTGAACTCTTTTCATGAGTTGGTATTGAATCAATATCTTAGTCCAATATAAGAAACAAATATATTGCTGGAGGTGCCTCCTTTTCAATGTGTCATAAAACCGAGGACTTGAGATTATTTCATATGATATGGCACCTTCATGGTTATGCCTGACCAGTGCTGAGTACGTAAGTGCTATTATCGTTAGCCAAATTTCAGCACAGCTAGTTGCAATCTGCCTATCAAAATGACCTCTGCAATTTCTGCTGCAATACACTATTTCTCATTTCCTGTCCTACATTGTTATACAGTGTTACTGCATACCGTGAAAAAGCTGCTGTGTTACAACATAAGGGTGGCTGCACCTCAGCAGTAAGAAAAGTTTTCACTCTATGTGCTGTAACTATCTCACAGAACTGTTGTGAGTCTTATTGAATATTTGAAGTGCTTAGTGATCCCCAGATGAATGGCCATTATATAAGTGCAAATTATTAATTCTTATAGTGCAAATAAATTGTTCATATTAATATACATATAAATTTATAAAACATTTCCATTAACTTTTTTTAAATAGATATTACTTTTTCAATCTATGAAGAACTTCCTTTTTGATGGTGTAACAAAAATGATAAAACTATTTTACCTTTATATCCCTGGTCCGTTTCCCTGAGATCAATCACAGTAATTGGTTTAAAATTTAAATCCCATAGACGAACACAGCCATCCCTGCCACCAGTGGCAAAACCTTCCTCACATGCATTCATGCTGAAAATTCCTGCCTAAAAACAAGAAAAAAAAGTTTAAAAATATGCAGTTTACAGTTACTATTATGCAAAGCAAAATTATTCTTCATAGTGATAGGAAATATTTTCCCTTTTGTTATGTCACAGAAGGCAACATAAATTATACAAGTACATGTTTTATAATTGAGAGAGTCAGAATACATGTAATAATTAAAGAACAATTTTTAGTATTATGGATTTCCTCCCAGTGTTGTAATGGAATTGAAAGCGGTACAGAAAGAACTTCATAAGAACATAAGAATAGCCCTACTGGGTCAGACCAAATGTCCATCTAGCCCAGTATCCTGTCTTCTGACAGTGGCCAGTGCGAAATGCCCCAGAGGGAATGAACAGAACAGGTAATCATCAAATGATCCATCCCCTGTTACTCATTCCCAGCTAGGGAAAACAGAGGCTAGGGACACCTTTCCTGCACATCCTGGCTAATAGCTATTGATGGACCTATCCTCTATGAATTTATCTAGTTCTTTTTTGAACCCTGTTATGGTCTTGGCTTTCACAACATCCTCTGGCAAGGAGTTCCACAGGTTGTGTGAAGAAATACTTACTTGTATTTGTTTTAAACCTGCTGCCTATTAATTTCATTTGGTGACCCCTAGTTCTTGTGTTATGAGAAATACTAAACCAGACTTTCTTATCTACAGTAACTCCTCGCTTAATGTTGTAGTTATGTTCCTGAAAAATGCGACTTTAAGCGAAATGATGTTAAGCGAATCCAATTTCCCCATAAGAATTAATGTAAATGGGGGGATTAGGTTCCAGGGAAATTTTTTTCACCAGACAAAAAAATTATATATCACCCATACATACATACACACACACACAGTATAAGTTTTAAACAAACAATTTAATACTGTACACAGCAATGATGATTGTGAAGCTTGGTTGAGGTGGTGAAGTTAGAGGGTGGAAGAGGGTGGGATATTTCCCAGGGAATGCCTTACTGCTAAATGATGAACTAGCATTCGGCTGAGCCCTCAAGGGTTAACACATTGTTGTTAATGTAGCCTCACACTCTACAAGGCAGCACGAATGGAGGGAGGGGAGACAGCATGGCAGACAGAGACACACACCCTGTGTGTGGGAGAGAAAGAGAGATGCGCATTGCCCCTTTAAGTATGCTGACACCATTCTAAGTACATTGCCTTTAAAAAGATCAGGAAGTTGAGATAGCAGCTGCGGCCAGCAAGCTCTCTCTGTCCTGAGCCCTGTCCTGTCCCCACCCTGCTCTATATGGAGAAGTGGTAAGCGGGGTGGCAGGAGTAGGGGGGCACCCTGACATTAGCCCCCCTCTTCTCCCCTCCCCTGCACAGCAAGCAGGAAGCTCCCAGGAGCAGCTCCAAGACAGAGGGCAGGAGCAGCACATGGCAGTGTAGGGAGGGACAGCTGAACTGCCGGCAATTGATAGCTTGCTGGACGGCTGATGCACAGGGAACTCAGGGAAGCGGGGAGCTGATAAGGGAACTGATGGGGGGCCTGCCAGTCCACCCTGGTTCCAAGCCCCCACCAGCTAGCTGCAACAGGCTGCTCTTCCTGCAAGCAGTGGATAAAGCAGGCGGCTGCCAAACAATGTTATAAGGGAGCACTGCACAACTTTAAATGAGCATGTTCCCTAATTGATCAGCAACGTAACAATGAAACAACGTTAACCAGGACAACTTTAAGTGAGGAATTACTGTACTTTTTCTACACCAGTCATGATTTTATAGACCTCAATAATACATCTCCCCTTAGCCATCTCTTTTCCAAGCTGAAAAGTCACAGTCTTATTAATCTCTCCTCATACAGAAGCCGTTCCATACCCCTAATCATTTTTGTCGCCCTTTTCTGAACCTTTTCCAATTCCAATATATCTTTTTTTGAGATAGGACAACCACATCTGCACACAGTATTCAAGATGTGGGCGTACCATGGATTTATATAGATGCAACATGATATTTTCTGTCCTATTATTTATCCCTTTCTTAATTATTCCCAGCATTCTGTTTGCTTTTTTGACTGCCATTGCACATTGAGTGGATGTTTTCAGAGAACTATCCACAATGACTCCAAGATCTCTTTCTTGAGTAGTAACAGCTAATTTAGACCCCATCATTTTATATGTATAGTTGGGATTATGCTTTCCAATGTGCACTACTTTGCATTTACCAACATTAAATTTCATCTGCCATTTTTCAGAGTAACAGCCGTGTTAGTCTGTATTCGCAAAAGAAAAGGAGTACTTGTAGCACCTTAGAGACTAACCAATTTATTTGAGCATGAGCTTTCGTGAGCTACAGCTCACTTCATCAGATGTATACCGTGGAAACTGCAGCAGACTTTATATACACACAGAGATCATGAAACAATACCTCCTCCCACCCCACTGTCCTGCTGGTAATAGCTTATCTAAAGTGATCATCAGGTGGGCCATTTCCAGCACAAATCCAGGTTTTCTCACCCTCCACCCCCCCACACAAATTCACTCTCCTGCACCGGAGGAGAAAAAAGTCAAGCAATGTTTGACATTTTGCCTAAAAATATATTTATCTAATATAGATCTGCATTAGTAGGAGCACTGCCAGCAGATTGAGGGAAGTTATTATTCCCTCTATTCAGCACTGGTGAGGCCACATCTGGAGTATTGTGTCCAGTTTTGGGCCCCCACTACAGAAAGGATGTGGACAGATTGGAGAGAATCCAGCGGAGGGCAACAAAAATGATCAGGGGGCTGGAGCACATGACTTACGAGGAGAGGCAGAGGGAACTGGGCTTGTTTAGTCTGCAGAAGAGAAGAGTGAGGGGGGATTTGATAACAGCCTTCAACTACCTGAAGGGGGTTCCAAAAAGGATGGAGCTCAGCTGTTCTTAGTGGTAGCAGACGACAGAACAAGGAGCAATGGTCTCAAGTTGCAGTGGGGGAGGTCTAGGTTGGATATTAGGAAACACTATTTCACTAGGAGGGTGGTGAAGCACTGGAATGGGTTACCGAGGGAGGTGGTGGAATCTCCATCCTTAGAGGCTTTTAAGGCCCGTCTTGACAAAGCCCTGGCTGGGATGATTTAGTTGGTGTTGGTCCTGCTTTGAGCAGGGGGGTTGGACTGGATGACCTCCTGAGGTCTCTTCCAACCCTAATCTTCTATGAAAAAGGCATGACTGGTATAACTAATATTGAAATAAAGATAAATACAACACAGCTGCCTAATATATTGTACCTAATCCTGATTTTTTTTTTTTTGGCCAGGAGCTTCGATTTTATTGATCCAAAAATCATTTTCAAAAGTGACTCAGTCACTTAGGAATTTAGATTCCATTTAATTCCATTTTCAAATATGTATTGCTCCTAAGTCACTTAAGAGCCTTTAAATTTTTACCTTATCTCTATTTTTTAAAATATATTTTAAACACTAAGTTACAAGCAAACAAAAGTAACACCAGATGAACATTTAAAAACAACCAAAGCATAGAAATGGTTCTAAACCTACTTGTGACTCCCTTGCACCACCTTATTCACCATAATAGTCCTGCCTATGCAATTTCTACTTTGGATTAGCTCTAATTAGGGCTATGCTTGAAAGATCATGTGGAAAGCATGTGCAAGATGCAACTGCCCACCTATTAAGTTGTACTGGAAAACTAAACATATTACACCAGTTCCCCAAGAACAGCAGTGGCTTCCCTTTTCACATGCAGGTACAATTCACAGCATAGACACTGACTGATCTATAACAACATATGTGATAAATGAATGGGGGGAGATAGCCCCCATTTATGAACACCCAGCCAGCCAGTTATCTGTAAAATCCCTCTTGGTGTCTGTTCTCGGCTTGCTTTACCTGTAAAGGGTTAACAAGCCCACAGGTAAAAGAAAAGGAGGGGGTACCTGACCAAAAGAGTAAATGGGAAGGCTAGAACTTTTAAATTTGGGAAAGAGGCTGGAGGGACAGAGCAGCAATGCTGTAAGCAGCTTTAAGCCAGGTATGATCATAAATATCAGATTATACCTAGAACTACTTATCTGAACATCCAAATGTGTAAGTAGATCAGAATGTTTAGCTAGACTCGATCAAGTTTATTTCTGTTTATTTTTCAAGGCTTGTGGATCTCCTCTGTGCTAACCCCAGGTCTTTTATTTGCTTGTAACCTTTAAGCTGAACCCTCAAGAAAGCTATTTCAGGGGCTTAATTTTTGTAATTGTTTCTTTTAAACTCTAGCAAAATGCCTAAGTTCCAGATGGATTGTTTTCCTTTTTGTTTTTAATAAAATTTACCTTTTTTAAGAACAGGATTGGTGTCCTAAGGGGTTTGTGCATGTTGTTTGATTAGCTGATAGCCACAGCTAATTTCCTTTGTTTCCTTTCTCAGCTCTTCCCCGGAGTGGGGATGAAAGGGCTTGAGGGTACCCCTCAGGGAGGAATTCCCAAGTGCACCCTTGTGTTCAAAGGGTGTTTGCTTTTTTTTTTTCATTTGGGCGGTGGCAGGCAGCGTTTACCAAGCCAAGGTCAGAGAAAAGCTGTAACCTTGGGAGTTTAATACAAGCCTGAAGTGGCAAGTATTAATTTTTAAAATCCTTGTGGGGCCCCACTTCCTGCACTTGGAGTAACAGAGTGGGGATTCAGTCTTGACTGTATGAGATATTGCCTCTCCCTCCCACTTATGTCCTGCACAAGTCGACATCAGCTATAACACCTGAGGTAACTGTCCCCCCCGCAGCAGTCTCGGGGAAGCAAATTCCCATTGGAAGGCCATTGACTCTGGAATTCACTCCCTTTACTTGCCCAGCAAAGCCCAAATTGGTTCACCTTCAGGCTAGTACAAAGCCAATCTCTTTTCTAAAACATTTTTATGAATGAAAGTTGGTGAGGACAGTGAGTATTTTTTCTAGGGAATGTTATTGTTAACTTCTGCCTTGAAAGAATAAAAAAATTCTCTCAAAGTTTTATTATATTGTGGAAATGTGTTCCATGACATGTGAAAGGAGTGTATTTCACTATAGAA